GAGGTTTTAGGTGTCAAAACATTTTTTAGGGTTTATAATTAGTGACATTTTTGTAAATAAACACTCCTAAATGGCATTATTGCAAATGTACACACAAAAAATAGTATTTTTGTAATTGTCCCTTGTTACTATCGTAATTATTAATTCGTAGAAGACTAACCACCTTGGTAAATGACTATATATGTATGTGATTTGTGAACCGAGACTTTGATTTTTTGCTTTTTGTTTATTACAACCATCTGAATTTATATTTTGAAAGCACAAAATTATGTTTGGGAAAAAGATGACCATGTCAAAAATATACACAATGATTGGTTTCATACGTTATCAAATTACGGTCGATACCAATAATTGTACAATCACCAATTGCTACTCATATACTCACATCGATTTCAATATTGATAACTATTCACAACTACATCAAAACCGATTTGTAAAATCCCTTTCTTAAATCGATCTTAATCATTTTAGGTTTAGGAGATCAAATAAGAGATGCATAGATTAGGGACCCACTTTTGTATAATTTGCTGGCCTAAAACCATTATTGCACGTTAATATCCGTTACTTAAGTATATTATAATGTTCTTCTGAGGTCACGAATGACCCACTTCCTCTCATGTTACATATTCTCCATATATAAAAATGACGAAAGCTTGACATACAATGAATCTTGATCGTCCGATTAGAATTACCTTTCGAGAGATTCGAATTCTCTTTCAAGATTCTTAAACGTGGAATCTTCAACAATATACAGCTAGGTTAAATATCTTGTATAGGACTTTGCCCGTCTACCTCCCTAATCTTTTGTCTTTTTCTAACACTTTATAAAGTATATATACGTATGGTTATGAAATATCTCTACTTGTTTAAAAATGTTTTATAATGTAAGATACTAAGACGACAAAATAAGACAACTGTAGCATTGCACTAGATCATGACCAGAAACATCTAGAATAGCACGAATCTAATATGTAACTCTACTAGCTAGTGATGGATTTTTTTAATCCACTAGGATTCACAAAGTTAACTATATTATCTTTTTCAATTGAATATAATAATTTGAACCACTTTGATCGTTCAATCTATATATGTCCCACGTAACAACGCAAGCAAATATATATTGTAGGG